CCTCTGCTGCTCACTTCACTTCACACTTCCTCTGCATTAGAATCACACATTTTCCATTTAAATTGTATATTACTTAAAAGGCCAGAAATACATTACTACCAGTTATTTATCTAATGTATTTCTAGCCTGTCTTTTAAGTCATCTCGCTTTTTTCTCAGTCAATCATAGCTGTTCATTCATTCAGAGAGAAATTAAGAATTATATTCATAGATAATTTTGGGATTGAGGAGGAACCTGGCCTTGCTAACTTCAGTTTCAGGATTAGTGACTTCAAACTACTTACTGTATATTATTCTACAAATATTAATAGAAGCCAATAAAGTATAATTAATAATAATTGATATAACCAATTCTACAATGGCAAAGAAATGCATGCAAGCTTATAAGTTAAACTGTAGTTACATTATCTTTTGAAACTGCTTGTGATCCCAAAACCTTACCAATTTCTTCAATAATCTGCAAGCCATAAATTCATTTAGAAATATTTTCAATTAAACTACTACTACTGCCAATAATAATGGCATCAGAGGTTCCCCAAAGGTTTAAAAAGAAAGGCAGCTCAGTCAACTCCTGACAACTTCTTCTAACAAAAGAAAGGGAGAAAGTGTAAACATAGTACAAGGGGCTGGACCTTAGTTCAAGTCCTCATTTGATCACAGATTTCATCGGGGAACTTGGACTATTCACTTTTTCTCAGCCCATGGTACTTCCTATGGTTGTTACAGAGACAAAATGAAGGGAGATCCTTGTATACATTGCCTTGAGATCTCACAGAAAAGGCAGGATATAAATGCAGTAAATAAATAATAACAACAGCCTTGTCACTTTAAAGGTAAATATTGACAATTGGTAGTACAGTCATTGTAATTGGAATGCAAATCATGCCATTGCTTACCTAAATCCTAAGACACGGATTTCTTTGAAACCTGCAAGTTTCTCAAATATCTTTTGCATCTATTAGAGAGAAAATAAAAAGTGAAGTTAATTATGGCTCATTCCTCAGTCAGAGGAATTAACAAATGCTAACTCAAATGCTTATTTAGTATTTACTCCCAGCATTTATTCCCAACAGACCCTATTCTAACATTTGTAAAACACAACCCTGGAATTTAGAAAGACCATTGCGGAACTTGCTTCTGTTCTATAATTAATGGAGTTAAGTATTCTAACTTGGAAATGCCTAAATATCATTTGGATTAATGGATAAAGCTCAGTCTATGTTGCAACTATTTTTATCAAGCCATTCTTTTTTAATTATTCACATTTGTATTTCCAATAATTTCATGAAGGGTATCGTTTAAGCTAGGCTACAAGATTTCAAGGGCAAATTTAATTCCAAAATATATGATGAGCTTTTGTCATTTTACCATTTTAGATGTATCTCTAAATACATACATTCACTGAGGTAAAACACATATCTTCAGAAAAGCGCACTGAAACAATTTAAGATGCAGTAGATGTGCTGCAGCTATTCAGTGTTGAATTGGTTGCAGTAATAACTTTGCTGCCAAATAAAATATGATTTGGTTTCCATAATCACATGATCTGCAGTTCTAAATCAGTGGATATGTCTTCTGGGCAATCATTTTTTATCTCTCAACTCTGCAACACCTGAGAAGGGATGCTATTAGATCCATGTAAAACAACTTCATCCCTAGCATGAAGCAAATTATGTGATAATAGTTACATCTTGTTCAGTCTATGCATCATCTCTCTATCTACGAAGAAGTATTGTGAACACTTTTAAATTCCCTTTACTGAATGAGCTGCCAAAATTAGGTGGAAAATACAATATGGAGGTGTTATCTCTAGAAACTGGAATGTGATTAATTCACATGCCCTCCAAGAGAAGGCAGTTAAACAAAACCTTCCCTCCTCTCTGGAAAATATTTTATTTTGTTAAAAATATCAAATAAATGAATAAATATTCTAGTTGACCTAACTGGGCCCTCAGAATTGTTGATCATCAAAGATATAAACTATGCTTTCCAAAATGATAATTAACATATACATAACTAGTTGATAGGGGGTTAACCATAGGCTGGACTTTCTCCCATATAGCTATTGCATTGTGGAGAACAAATACAGTTCCCAGTGCTCTGCTCCCCTGCCAAGCCTCTGCTATCCTGCAAATTCCTGTAAGGATAGAATGCCTTAAAATGGCCTGGGAGTACACAATCCAACACACGTGGGTCAAAAGGACAAGGTACAGTAAATCGTTCTCAGCTGTGCAGTTTTGATCTATACACATAGAGCATCAAAAAGAAACTACCTTTGCATGAAGAGGGAACATTAGCAGAAACAGAACACAAGTATACTCATTCCCATCCACAGGATGGGTACCATCCTATTAGTCAAGACCATGAAAATTCACATACTGGTAGGCCACAAGGAATGCAAATTTCTGCCCCTCCAACTTTTTCTTGGTGGTTGTGCCAAAAAGGTAATGTGAATATACCAGTTAAATCTGTCCTGCCCCCTATTGTGAAACCATGAAGTGGTGCTAATATCTATGAAACATAACAGATACAATGACACTTTCTACTACATATGGTGAATTGACAACTAAATCATATAAAAATTATACCCTGTTAAGCCCACACATTGCATTTTCTAGAACATCCTTCCCTGACCTGACACCGTCCAGGGTGTTCTGTACTACTACTCCCATTATCTCCCAGGCAGCATGGACAAGGATAGCATGAAGAAAACAGCCCTAGAATCTCTCTGAAGGAAAGTATGGAATCTATACATAAGGGGCAAATCTATAGATGCCTGTTCCATTGATTAATGCTTCACTCTGAAGACATACTTTCAGGAGAACTGAAAATAGATTCAGTTTCAGTCTAAATGTATATTGATTTAGGCTGAAACTGTAAAGATTATTTATTTGTCTGAAATCTCATTTTAAAACGCAAATGTACCTTAACCCATATCATAATGCTGGACAAGTAGATTATTAATTCTGACGCTCCTTGGTATGCAGAAAAATTGGGGTGGGGATTTTGTTTACAACTTTGCAAAGGAACATATTTCAGAAGAAAGTTTTAAGTTCTTTTAAAGCTGCTTAAATGAGCCTCACATTTGAAACTGATCTGGGAATTCAAAAGGCAAAAAGAATACTCCCTTCACATCTGCTGTATTAACTTCTGCTTAAGTTAAGTTCTGCTAAGCAAGCTTCAAATCATTACTTGCTGGCTCTCAACCATCTAATGAAGCATCAGTTAATCATAATGATATACACATGCTAGCTTCATTCTAGCTCAGAGGAAGGAGAATAATGGCCAGAGAATGACCAGAGAAGATGCATGCTTTTCCGTTTTCTGGCTGGTCAGTAGTTAATTTCATTCAACAGCTGTATTTAAATTGATCATTAGGTTTATTGTTTTAATACAATTACTGTAGAGAATTGTCCATTAATTCCTGATTAGGGGTCAAATAATTTTTCCTAATAGCACGTAGGTGTAATGTGCTCTGCTGACTAGGTAGGCCTACAATCTGTTGTAGAGATGCTGGCAGTGAGTGTTATTCTGGTGGAGAAACATGTCATGCCTAGTAAGAACATTATAGGAGATGAGGTGCAGGACAGTAGTACAGACCTCTCATAGAGACATGCAGATGCAGAAATTTGATAGTTTATGATCTGCAGTGATGAGGCTATATTCTGTGGATCAGTTTTTTCTTTTTAAGAATCTGTTAAAAATCTGCATTTGTTTTCATTTCCAAACTTTTACTACCTATGGATCTTTCACAAGCAGCTTCCCATAGATCCCCTTTTTACAAAATTTCTTTGATGCCATTAAATTTTATTTTGTTATGGAAATTTAAAACAGTCATTTCCTCACGTAAGCCATTTTGTAATATAGTTATCTTTTTCCATATTCAACTTTCCAAAACATGCACTTTTTTAAAAAAACGTATATCTCACAAATGTGATCTTACTTTTTTCAGATGTTTTTTCTTGACAAGAGGAAGATGGATTCCATTAATGGAACTATCCATGCTGAAGGTATTTATTTTGACAGAACTTGTAGATATATACCCTTATGGAAATCTGTGGTATATTTCTCTACCACCTTCACCAACAATAGATCTGTTATCATCTCATAATGTGTATAAAGGTCCTAAGCTTGCAGTCTCTTGTAAGGTATGCATATTCTTCATAATTGGAAGATATTGCCATGGGAGTTTTACGAATAAGCAACACGCAATCCTTAAGGAATAAACAATGCTGTCTCACTTTCACATATCATGATCTAAATATCACTCTTAATTGGGTACCTTTTCCATGAAACAGTTGCATAAACATCATTCCAATATTAATGAAAAACTATCCTACTGAAATCAGCATATATCAGGTTAAGTCCCCCATAGTAAGACATAAGTTGCAACATAATGCAGTAACTTCTGCTATTACCCTGATATATTTAAGGATAAACTGATGCTCCAATATGGAATTGTCTATTGACACATCATGCCTTCCCCATGAAGTAATCAAATTTCCTAGTCCTTCTCCTTGCTGCCTTTCATATCTATATAACAATTCATATCTGTGCATAACATATGGCTCAGTCAGTGAGACAGATACTCTGACAGAGCTGAACAACTTCTCACCCCAAACCTGACAGGCCATCAAAAATAGGAAGCCTTGCTGGTGCACGGTAGATGGCTGGTAAACTTTATTTCATTTTGTTTCCCTCCCTGGATCGGCAGGTCATAAAGGGAGTACACAAACTACTGTCCTACCTGTGTAGAAATAGCCTGGCTTCAGGGATTCCTGCCTTAGTAACCTTCTGTACAGGTAACGGCAAAGCATCATACACAGGATTGCCCTTGAATAAAGTCTGGAGACTTCTTTTAGTACAAAGTATGGTGGCTAGGATTGGAGCTGACCTGCTCTATTATTTTATCCTGGTATTTTATCACCTTCACTAGCCCAGAGTTGGCTTCTGGGCCCAGTGTCAAATGCTAATGTTAATTTATAAGTCCCTTCACAGAAAAATGTATTTTTTAAAGTCTTTCACCTCATCCCTGAGATGATTATTAATACTTGGCTCTGAATGCAAGCAGGGCAAGTGGCTATCTAGTAGACCTTTTCCATAGTTCTCTAGCAGCTATTATTGTTATTTTTGATGGGAGAGTTTAATTGAAATGGTTGTAATTTACTTTGTGCAACTCAGTGATATTACCAATTACTTAAAACAGGACAAAATGTTCACATTACATGCCAATTATTTTATCAGGATAAAGTACTCTGTACTTATACTTTATCCATTAATGAAGTATCCAAAATATTTGAATTGATGCATCTTTTATTCTTCAAACTGCTTTGTTGTTTTTCTGCAACAGACTGAAATTGTAATATTAAAATAATACTAGACAACCCGTGACCTGTTGGGTCACCGTTTCAGAGATATTTCCTTACCTAAACTGAGAAACAGAATGACCAAGGGCCAAAAAGTAGTGGGAGTGACTTATGACTTGCTGCCAGCTTTCCCATTGACTTTGCTTGTGGGAAGCTGAAAGGGAGTGTCAGAAATCTTCCTTTCTTCCTTCCTTCCTTCCTTCCTTCCTTCCTTCCTTCCTTCCTTCCTGCCTGCCTGCCTGCCTACCTGCCTGCCTGCCTGCCTTTCCACATGTAATATAGGCTTGCACCATTTGTCCTGCCCTCCTCCTCCCCCTTGGCTGACCTGTGGAACTGCCTGCCACTTTTCTGGGGGAACAAAAGGAGCTGCAGACTATGAGAAAAACTGCACCCCTGGTCCTCATTCTGGCATGTCCCCAAGGGCCCCCTCCCTTGATGGAGGAAGAGGGCTCACCCTTCAACCACTGGTGCTCCCCAGCAAGGCTTACCTTGCCAGTAGGCATCCAAGTCACTCCCTCATCCTTCCCTCAACACCTAATGCCATTAAGAGATTTCAAATTCCTGCCTTGGTTCCAAAGCAGTCAATCATTGCTCGCCTGTCAGGCCTTGCTGACAGCCGATTGGGCGCAGGTGACAGAAAGACGTGGGAAAGAGGTTGGAGATACACCCATCAGATGATGATCATGTGGCCTAGGCTGCCTGCAGTGGCATGGCTGTGCAATAGTGCTGAAGCAGCCGCAAATTTCCCAAATTTCAATTCCACAGGAGTAATGGGTCCTGAATTTTGAATGCATTATGTAAGTTAGCCCATTTGAGGTACCTTGGTTCAAAAACTGTTGCCCTATGATGCACCGTTTTACCCAGTTGAACGTTACAGACATAAGAGTTTTAGTAGTATATAGATAATAAAAGTTACTGTTCATATTGTTAATGACTATCATTTAATTCAGGCATTACCAATGCTAGGAGAGGCTTATTCACAAAATGGGGAAATCACCAGTTACAAAGCATCATCTTCCAATAATGCTATTTGCCACTCTCTATAGCCCACACAATCAGCAGGATATATCTTGATTATTTTGACCACTTTTCTGGTCAGGGAGAACATTTCTAATTTAAGCATTCAACAACCAGAGCTGACCATAATTTTTTATTGTTTAAGAACATTTATAGAGCCCATTTATAGTCCAGAGACATAATGGTAAATGAAAAGACCCTGGTTCTTAAAATGTAACAACTCCAGCAGTTAGTTTGCTAATCTAAGCCCCTCCCTGTGCTACAAATATGGGGCTAACTCCATAGGGACAAAGTTCAGTTAAGTAGCCCCACCCTTGATATTACACATGTGACACTGGCCTCCCCAAATGTAGATGTGGAGAATTATCCCCTACCCAAGTATAGTGTATGAGTAGACATCCATAAGAAGGCAAATGAAACAGGTGGAAATGAATTTAATGGTACAGTCTGCCTCTGCTTGTGTGGAGATATATCTTTATTCTAATGCACAAAGAAAATTCTATCGCCATTTGCTTGGGTGACAGTAAAATGAATGTACCACTTCTTATTGATCATTACATGTGGTAACAATCTGACAGTGGCTAGAACATTTTAACAGTCATTTTGAAGGATTAAACAGATGGAAGAGTCTGAGTCACCAAAGTTTACTTTTCCTCATTCCAGTAAGATTTAAGCACACAACTTTAATCAATGAGATTTAAAAGTGCTTAACTGTGAATAGATTATACTCCTCCTTTTCCCCCCTCTTTTTTTGTAAAACTGAAATACCCAAACAGCATAAACCTAAAAATGTACTGAGTTGCTTGGAATTTAAGGAGGACTGTAGTCTAAAATATAATTTCACTTTTCTATCTCAGTAAAGTACAAGTGGTCCTCGTTTAGCCACCACAATTGGGACCGGCAACTCTGTCATTAAGCAAAGTGGACACTAAGTGGGAAATCACTTGACTATGACAGTGCTTTCCTTTTCCCCACTTCCTGGCACTTTGGAATGCTCACCAGGTGGCACTAGGATAGTTGGCTTGAAACTGATAAGACTAATCAGTTCTACACTTTTGGCTTTTCTTTTCCTCCTAACCACTCCCCTGGCCTTTGGAATGCTCACCCAGGTGCTGGGATAATTAGCAAGAATGGAATTAATGTTTGTATTTACATTCATTGGAGAGGAAGGGAGTACAAGTGAGTAAGCAGGCACACAATGGGGACTACATATTGAAAGCAATGCGGTGGTGCCAGCAGCCATGAGTGTGCTACACAAACAGCCTGGTATATTTCCCATTATGTGGCCACTTACTCTCTTGTAATCCCTTCCTCTCCAATCTCTCCGCTCTGTGAGGAGAGGGGGAGAAAAAAACGGGTAAGGCACAGGAGAGATTACCTATAGAAATCACTTGTTTCCCCCACCTCACAGAGTGGGTAGATTAGAGAGGAAGGGATTACAAGAGAGTAAGCAGGCACACAATGGGGAATGCACCAGGCTGTTTGTGTAGCGCACTTGCAGCTCCCAGCCCCCAGTGCACTCAGCGCTGCTGGCGCCACCGCATTCCTTTCCATGTGTATTCCCCATTGGGTGCCTGCTTACTCTTGTGTAATCCCTTTCTCTCCAATCTTTTCACTATGCAAGTGGGTGGGGGAGAAGGAAAAACAACAGGTTAGGCACAGGACAATGCATACTGACTGTAATGGTAATCACATGACTGAGGGACACTCTGAAGGTTGTAAATGCAGGCATTGGTTGTAAAGTTATTTTTTCAGCACTGTTGTCACTTTGAACAGTCACTGAACAAGGCAGTCAGTAAACAAGGACTACCGTACATTTAACTATGGCCTAGTAAACCAGAGGCATGTTTTCTACGTATTCAATAATTGCAATATGTATGAGATGTTCTCCTAAAAAACTCAAAGCAAACACACTTTATCCAACAAGGATAGGTTTTATTACTATCAGGGAGTGCTCTTACCTGGAGCTGATATTTTGCTGCTAGTTTCTGATACTGAGGAGAAGCTGGGTTATTCAGTTCTGATGTATATTCCTGGTTGTTGAGAGTGACACTGAACTCCACCGTTTGCTCCATAGGCAGTTTGGAAATGGCATTTGGAACTTCTGGCTTTAGCTCCCAAGAGATCAAAAGAGGGAATTGGTTTCCAACCCACTTCAACAACTCTAGGATACACTATACACTAATAAGGAACTCATCCTCTGAGTCGCTTAAGACATGATACACACAATTGAAGGAGGTCTTAGCTTGAGGAACCCTCAGGGTTAGAAAGGAGGGAGGAGGGAAGAAAAGGAGGGAAGGCAACAAAGGAAAAAAAAACAAAAGAGGGCAGGAAATCTCCAAGAGCCCACCATAAATAAATAAAAAAGAAAAGAAACAAGGAAGGAGGGGAAATAAAACATAGAATACTGAAAAAAGGCATAGATTGGTGGTCATATCTTAAGAAGAAGCTTTTCATACCACTTGTATTGTTGCAGTTTGCACTATAACTACTTTGTGTATACCCTTCAAAGATAACTACTTGGGTGCAAAAATTGCACCAATTATTTTTGTAATGATGTTGTATTGCACCAGTTTAAGAGAATAGTGATTAAAGTCCAGGATATCTAAAAGGCGTCAGGATACAGATAGCTGCTTCAGGATTTTGAAGAGGACCTCTCAAGATGTACATGGTTGTATTACAGATTCTAAAAATATAAGGGTCATGAATTTGTTTATTTATTTATGAAATTCATATGCTGCCTCAACCCAATTGGATTTTAGGAGGTTGACAGTATATATAGTAAAATAGAATAATAATACAATAATAGAAAAATGGAAAACAATATCTCCCCCCTCCCCAAAAAAATCCCTCTTACATCAGTGGCTCCAGAATCAATCTCAGAGAAAAGTGATCTCCTAGATATTGATGTCTGGGACTCGGACTGCATATGCAAGCAGTCGGACAGACCATTAAAATACAGCAGATCAAAGTAAGCTTCACAGCTAAGCCTGTAGGTGCATTGCATACACAACTGACAGTGTTCCTGGTGTTATTCCCATCAGTCTTTGCAGAAGATCCTACATATTCTCTTTCCACCCAAGTCTTCCAGTTCTTTATTTTCTTTTTCATTAGCTAGTGCAAAAAACACTTTTTCACCTGCTGTTTAAAAGCAAAGCATATGTGAATAAATTCAATAAAGCATGATAATAAGGCCCTCTCTACCATTGGATCTGCTGCCTCACCCCCAACTCAGGCAGCAGCTCTCTAGGTACTTGCTGTCAGCTGGTACTTTTGTTCCCATTGTAAATTTAAAAAAAAGAAAAAAGGAAGGAGGGGAAATAAAACAGAGAATACTGAAAAAGGGCACAGCCTGGTGGTCATATCTTAAGAAAGTTCTTAAGATATATGAAAAAGTTCTTGTTATAGCAGAAAGGCCAAAAGAAGGAAAATGTCTTCCTTTACTGCTAATTGATACCTAAAAACTGCTCTCAGGGAGATTCAAAACAAGAAAGGCATCCAGCAAAATCCTCCCTCACTATTTAACCTTAAGGGGATGGAAGTAATTCACCTACTGGAGTTAGAAGGGACTACTCAAACATGGGTAGATTTCTGATATCATGGGTATCACTGGGGCTTATATTGCTGAAGGTGCCAGCTACAATTTGGCTCCAAGCACGTGACATCTGTTTGGAATAAATCTCCAAAGGACTGGATAGGGAGAGCCTTATAAAAGCAGAAATGCTAATCAAAGCAGTAGCTTTTGCTTTACAGGTAGCAAAGGGAGATAAGGAAGGCTTAGAAGATAGACAAATACTATAAGGGAGGAGATAAAGCACTAAAACCAGAGAAGAAAGACTCTGGAAATGGTTAGTTGGCTTGTAGGAGAATTGGATTTGGGATCTTGCATTTCTACTATATAGAAAAGAAGTGAGTTATGTAATATGGATGAAAAACCTTGCTTTATTTGGACATGGCTGTTTCTGTTCCTCAAGCACGGGCAAGAAATATCACTCACAATTAGCTCAGAGGAGAGACACTAATCAATATGTACATTTTAACTGAAGGGAGCAGAGGGAAAAAAGTATTGGTGATGAGCTAGTGCACCCCGTGAACTGCTGAGTAGGGAAAACTAAGTGCAATTGCTTAGTAGAGAGAATGCTAATGATTCCTCACCTTCACTGATGTTTTGCTGTCATTGACAATCTCATTCACAAGGGTACCTGTGGAGATTACTGGGAAGCAGAAATAGAAAAGGGTTAAGGAAATCTACTGATGTGTGACTTTCTGTTCAATAATAAGAGAATATGAATGAGCAAAAATAATAAAAGTGAGTTGTTTCTTTTTAAAAATAAGTTATAAATCAAAACATAAATCCAGTTCTTGTGCTGTATATAATTCTAGTATGTGTATTTGTGAGTAAGCTGCGATCTTATATGAATACTCAAGTCCCACTGAATTTAATGAGACATCTCTGTATAAACGTGCCTAGGATTAAATTCTAAGGGTTAAACTAAATGTGATCCCTTTCATGCAATTAAGTTTTTTTAATAAATAACTAAATAATAGATATGTTCAAGGACTGTGTAAAACTCCTGACTTAGAAATGGAAGTTCTAAGTTCTACTGAACTCTGGAATATTCCATTCCCCCTCTAAAACATACCATTCTAGAGGAAGACCAGCAGTTCCCAGAAGTAAATCCTTCAAACTGGATAAGATTTCAGGTGTGCTGGAGGTGGTTTCAGGTGCAATGCCATATCTGAGACACCTTGAATTACTTCCAATTTGGAGGATTCGCTTCTCAAAATCACCATACTGTACCTGAAGTAGCATGATCCAGAGGTCAAACAGAACATCCCAGAATTCTCAGAAACATCCCTGACTCAGTGCATTTTGTATTCCCTAATGTGTTCCCCTTTCCCCATCTGAATGTTGGGGGAAAAAAAATAAGGAAAAGCAGTTTGACAATGGAAACAATTACCCAGAGGGATAGTGGGCTCCCTTACATTGAACGTGATTAAGAGGAGGATAAATCTGCCTCAGATGCTTTAATTTGGATTTGTGTGCTGAGCAGGAAGTTGGATTCAATGACTCAAATGGCCTCTCCTATCTCTATGACTCTATTCTCCATCTGCATTAGAAAAAAAATCTGTCGTTCAATTAGATGTTTTTTGTCCAATCCAGTGAAGATTGGGATAACAGTGGAGCAAAAGTTAAAGCCCTGGACCTGTCTTACCAAGATCCCAGACTACTTCAGACCTGTCCTTTACGTTAAAAAAAAAGTTCATGCAGTTACTAACGACATCAATGGCATCATGAGTTTAGATACATTTTCTGTGGGTATGGGGAATTTTTTTTATTTAATCAGCATATTCAGCCATGCACCGTTGTAGCAACTAATGAAGACACACCACTGTTAATATGTTACTTAATTCTATGCAAATGTGATTGTCTGTTGCAAATTTATTTTTGGATAGCTTCGCAGCAATTTTCTTGAAACTCATTTCACTGTGGAGGCATGATAAATATCACACAGTTAAAATGCTACAATTTAAGTGTTAAAATGTAAAATATTCTCAAACCAGGTTTACAATGAAAAGTATTCCATTATCATATTTCACTTGCACTATTTACTGCATTTCCATACTCTGAACTATTCAAACAATAATGGGCTTGAACTACTTAATGTAAACAGATAGAAACAGACATAATGCATGCTTAGTTTCACCTGTAACAACAGAAGGAGGTTCTTCAACTTTTTTGCCACTGGCTTTTTCTGCAGAAATATCCTCTTTTCTGGAAACAAAAAAGTAATAAGTAGAACTGTAAATTAGACCATGAAAATGAGAGGAATAGGCATTCATTTCTTATTAGTTTAGACATTAAAGCCACATTCTGTCTAAAGGTATGCTTTTACATTTTACTGCTTTCACTAGAAGAGCTCTATTTAGATCACTTTTGTTTAAAACCATGGAATTTCAAAACTGCTTAACTCTTTTGAAAGCATTCCTTTGAACTAATTGCTCAAGTTAGCCACTATATGTTTAACAATTAAAAAAGACTTCATTGTTTTCATGTTTAAAATATCTCTATTTTAGAAATCAATGTGTTCATTGATAGGTCCCTGTCCCTGGAAACGTTCTTGTCTGGATTCAACAAGGGGGGAAAAGCACAGAGAGGATATGGAGGTATACAGATGTGAGCTAATGTGACAACTTGGGTTTAAACTGGATTACACCTGGAGATAAAATGGGCTTTGAGAATGAAAGCTTGGAAAACTGAAAAGATGGTGTGATGCTTGAGTACAAAGAAATGATTCAGGTATAAGGAGCACAGTGGAGGATGACCTGCTCTGTTTCTCAGAGAGCAGGAAGTTTTAGCTGAACAGGATAGAGTTGAAAGAGGAAAAATTACAGAGGTATACTATGAAGGGAAACAAAATAGAAAGACAAGGCAAGGCAGTAAAAATAGTGAAGAATAGTAAAGATCCCTTGAGTGTATTCTCTTGCTTACTATAATTTATGATGTATTTATTTACAGGACTCATATAGTCACCTATCTCATATTATGATTCTGGGTGGCTCACAACAATCTATTAAAACACAGCTAAAAACAGAAATACCTGTCCCCCCCAGGCACTGGGCCAAACAGCTCTCAGCTCAACCCCCATCTTAGTCCAATGCTTCAGGGAAGAGCCAGAGCTTCATGGCCCTCTGGAAGGCTAAAGGGATAGGGATCCCTCAGATCTCAGGAGGCTATTCCAAAGGGCTGGGGTGGCCACCAAGGTGTGCTCTCAAGGTCCCACCAGGTGGCAACATTTAAGGGAGGGCACCTGGAGCACACCCACCCTGTCTAACCTAGTAGGATGGGCAGTTACCCTCAGGGAGAGGCGGTCCAGCAAATAATCTGCCCCTGTGCTAGGTAGGGCTTTAAAGGTGATAACCAGCACCTTGAATTGCACCTGGAAAGCAACTGGGTGCCAATGCAGCTTACACAGCATTGATGTTACTTGGGTGAACCATGGGGAAACTATGCATGCCGCTGCATTCTGGGCCAGTTGCAGCTTCTGGATGTCTTCAAGGGCTGCCCCATGTTGCAATCATCCAAATGGTAGGTGACTAAGGCATGAGTGACTGTGAGCAAAGCCTCCTGATCCAGGAATGGGTGCAAATGGTGCACAAGATGGATTTGTGCAAAGGTCCCCTTGGTCAAGGCTACCACCTGCTCTTCCACCAGGAGCTGTGAGCCCAGGAGGACCCCCAAATTCACACCAGATCTGCCCAGAGGAGTGTTACCCCATCCAGAGCCAAAGATGTCAACTCTCCTGACCTTGGGGGCCAAAGACCCACAACCACTCTGACTGGCTAGTGTTGAGTCACATCCAGTTTCTCTCCATCCAGGCCCTTACAGCCTCCAGGCACTGAGCCAGCACCTGAACAGCATCACTTGCCCGGCATGGGGTAGAGATGTATAATTGGGAGTAACCAGCATACTGATGATACCAAACCCCATGCCATGGGATGACCTCCCCCGGTGTTTTCATATAGATGTTAAATAGGAGAGGAGAGAGACCTGAGTCCTGAGGTACCCCACATAACAGGGGCCTAGGACTGGACCTCTCCTCCATGAAGAAAGGAGGAGAACCACTCCAAAGCAGTGCCCCCCAATCCCCAGAGTTGGTCCAGCAAAATGCCATAGTTGTTGGTATCAAAAGCCGCTGAGAGATCCAGAAGGGACAGGACAGACACACCACCCCCATCCTGAGTCCTCCAAAGGTCATCCACAAATAAAACCAATGCTATCTGGGGACTATAGCCCAACCTGAATCCTGACTGAAAAGGGCCCAGGTAATTTGCACTTGTGAATTATTCCTAATTAGCAATACACAGATCTGGTTCCATTTCTTAAAGTCAGAGCAGGACTGAGAGTGAGGTGAGAAAAGTAAAGAAAAAAAGAGAGACAGAAGAAGCTTGCAGAAAGACACCCAGACAAAGAATGGCTCTGCTCGTTTTTGACTCTGCTGAACATGATTCTTGAAAAGTACGATCTGCTCATATGACCAAAGTTAGTACAAAGTATGTCCAATTTACTAAAAACAGAAAAAAAAAATCCAAATTAAAAATAAAGGTAAAGGACCACAACAAAATAAAAATTAATTCTGAAGTAGAAAACAAATTGTCAGGGCAAGAGAGATTTAACATTTATATTGCACTCTGTTATGTTTGTCGCAGAATTTTGAAGGAACTTCTACACAACTACCATTTTCATCCCCAAAACCTCACAAACTGTTCACAGCACCCAACAGTTTTCTTTCCTACTGGAATCAAGAAGAGAAGGATTCCCTAAAACATTTTAATGTAGGCTATACATTTCAATTCTATAATGGAGCTCTCCAATATGCTCATGGTGCTCATGATAAATGAAGCCTGCCAAGAAAACACTGTTTTGCATAAATCCTCATGGTAACTCTCATAGATGAGCAGCAAGTATTCATGAAAGATGCATTTATCATTACCTATCAATAAGGAAAATTAAGTTCAGACAGTGCTGCTTTAATGTAAACACGGAGTAAGGAGAACTTTCCCCAAAGAAGAAACTATATGGCTAAATTATTTAGGCACCAGTGATTTATTTCTGTTAATCATGTCCTAATCTGTAGAGTCAACTCATTTCCATTGCCTAATTAGTACTACTAGGCACAGATTTGGAATAACATGGTATTTTCTTCTTATACAAAGCAGTGATAAGGCATGGTTGTCTTACCATAGATGGGATGAAGGTCAACAAATCAACATAGCTTCTTTGAGGATAGAATAAAGAGGCTCTGAACTCTGTACATGTGGGGTGGTGGAGGTGATGGGGAGAACCAGTATGGTTCCAGCAGCATCTATTGGCTCTCACTGGTTTTGTCAGAATGGCAAAACCAGCATGCCACAAGCTTCACCCTTTTGGGTGTGTGCTATGTTAGGACACACATAGAAAAGGCTGGGGCTTGTGTTGAAAGCTACTTACATCATTTTGCCTCCCCTGTGATGCCTTTTTTGGTGCATTAACACAAGGGAGGAAGGAGATAGGATACTAATTTTCAGCAAACTATTACTATATTAATAATAACGGAATGTAAAATCTGCAATCAACTTTATTCCTTATTATGTGAGGTAGGGAAGCAAGTCTACCACAAGATGTTATTCCTACCCTGTACGTAAAAGGACCAAATATGACTATTTCAAACACAGCAAGGATGAATAGCTTTCTTACAGAGATAATAATGACATTATATTGTGATTAGCATAGGATTCTTTATCCTGACTAATGTATTAACTTCTTTCTCTAATTATTCTTATCTTTATTAACATTAATGCTCTGGGAGGGAGTGGGATGAGTGATCTTCAGGGGTGGGAATTCAGTGGAGATAAAAAAATTAATGTTCTGTTTCATTAAAAACAATCAAAGAAAGAATAATTTTAAAAGCACAGGTCACCTTTACCTCTGCAACCAATTGAAGTGTCAGGGATTTACTTTCATACCTTATACATCCCAATGACTGGGATGAGAGATGGTGGAATTATAAGAGAAAAAAAAAAGTGGTGGGTTTCACATTACGATATTTGTCAGATTATCACCTGGTTAAATCCTTAACTCCAACAATATACTGTGAATTTATGAACTTTCTTGTCTTTCCACACAGAACCACCCCCCAGATCTTTTCTACAGGAACATAACAGTTGTTTACATGCTGCATCCTCCTGCTAACTTGTGTAATTAAATGATAATGTAAGCATTCTTATTTTGGGATATAGTGTCACACAAGAAGAAACTCTTTTACTCCAAAATACTGGGACGCCTGATCCAGATTATAAAAATCCAGATGACTACAAGGTGGCAGGGAAAAGACACAGAACAATCTAACTCTTTGCTACCATTCAGTGATCCTTGGGATTTTTGCAGCCCACATCTAGTAGACCCATAACATACCAACTTCCACCCTCTCCTTATAGAGTGGAATAATATGGATGCCGTAACTACATAATACACCACTGACATAAGATAACCACTTTGTTAAAAAATGCACAAGTGTGAATATCTAATACATAGATTGCCTCAGAGCAGATATTGTAATTGGACATCTTGAAATTGTAGTCAGAACCAGAATGTTATATCATTTAATATGCTATCTTTAAATAAATCATGCGTCAAAAATGAATATGCAATCAGAAGCTGATAATTCAAAGAAACTACAACCGTGAGTTCACATAGTTTAGTTATTTTGCATCATGATTATTTAGAAAGTGAAACCATTTTGGATTATGAAAGTGATTCAGTTTCCACTAGTAAATTATTCAATAGTTCTCTGGTGAAGAGCCAGACTGCTTTCAGAAGATGGTAGCCTTGGGTATCCAGACATACCCAATCTAGATGCATTCATCTCAGACATCAGCAGTCTGATAGCACCTTTTCTGGCAATTAAAAGGTATATGCTTTCATGAGCTGCAGCTCACTTCATCAGAAGCATAGAATGGCTAGACTGATGTAGGATTTAAATTGGGGTGAGGCGGCGAGGGAAAGGAGGGAAGACAGATGCAGGTACAGGTTATCTGTGAGTCAGATTACAAGTGCCTTATCAATTAGCTATCAAAATATGTTAAAAACCCATTGTCTTCATTGAGACCTTCTGAGATTGCCTGAAAACTTTTGATGTGTGTGACTTCAGCAATCTCTCAGTCATTGGTGAGGTTGAAGTCCCATTTTTTTCCAGAAAGTTACTTTGAGGTCTACCATAGAGTATCCAGGGCGACTGAAACGCTTGGACATTACTTTGTCCTTGTTTTGAGTCCAGCTGTCAAACTTGTGACCATTATTTTTTTTTTGAGTAAAGTTTTTCCCATTTATCCTATGTAGAATCCAGAGGGGCAATGCTGGCAGATGGTGGCATATATCATATTAGAGGAAGAACATATGAGGACTCTTCTAATCTTGTGTGTGTAATTGTTAGGCCTTGTGATGGTGCTGTTGGTGTAGATATGGGGGCAAAGTAGAAATAGCGATTTGTTTCAGAGTCTGGTTCCCAAGTTAGCATCACTGTCCTGTTGTTTCTTGTTGTTTATGGGAATCTGCTTCAAGTTGTATGCAGGTATTAGCTTGCCATCCAGTGCCTGAGAAAGTGCAGTTTCATTGTCCAGTATGAGCTATAACTTATTAATAATGCATTTGAGCTACCAGACTCCTGAATTTTAAACCCATAGAGTAACATGTCTCTCCTCTTACATTATCTCGGACATGGAATCTTCATCCTCACAAGGAATAGCTGCATGCCATGAGTTCTGCACAAAGACAGGTCACCTAAATGGCTTCCTCTCTACTATAGAGCAAAAGGTTTCATCTTTGAAAACTGCAGGCTGAAATCCAGGAAAAAAGGAACAAGAAGCTAAGTGCCAGGGTGAGGGTGGGAGTGAGGAAAAGAGAGCTACAATTCTCCCCCAACCTTTGATTAAAATTAGAATTTTCAGGAAGAAAAATTTTCCATGTTACAAGCTGGCACAGAAGTAATATCTGTTCCAAAGATTGTATACTTTTGAGAGGAATAGGAAAAAATAGCTAAGAATTGTATTATGTTTTGTTTTTTGTGGAGAGGGATTTATTTATTATGACTGGTATCTGCCATTTCTTTACAGACTCAGTCCTTGTATGTTTTTATGCAACTTGGTATCTCTTTACATCAGAGTTGCCTTTAAATATCAGCAAACCAGCATCATCTTTTGTTTTTCTCAGAACTCACTGAGGGGTAAGAAAGAAAAGGGAGTAAATAAAGAATGGATGAATGCTTCAATGCCAGCCTTATCTGGGAAGGCGGAAGTTAGCCCTTCCACTTTGCATTCTGAAAAAAAGAGGTTCAGACAAGTCCCAGTGACTCTACCTTATTGAACCCAGTCATAAATGAGGGCAGGGTTTTGCTTATTCACGTTCCAAGACTCTGTATCCTAATCCTTTCTTTCTTGACAGTGCAGCATCCATGTATTTGTGTGTGTGAACATTTGCAAGGTGGCAGGTGCAGCATCACAACTGAAGGAGAAATGTACTTTCAGACTTGCAAGATTCTGTTAATGTAACTTTATAATAAAATAGAATTTGCTCATCTGGCCATGCTTCCTATCTGGTCTACCTTGCAAGGCTGACATCAGTCTTGCAAGTCTGAAAGTACCTTTCTCCTCTGTCCTGTTTACAGCCCAAGAAAGTAGGGAAGGTCCCTTCTGAGCCTCTTGCCCCACCCACATTCCTGCTGCGGGCTAAGTTGCCTTTTATCTGACTGTTCCTTGCTGTGTCTCTTCTCCCTGTCTCCCAAGGTCATTCCCACATACCATTACAGGTACATAGGCTGTGGAAGCCTTATCTCTCTTTTACACTGAGGTTAAGGGGAAGGTCTCCAGGTAGAAGCAACTGCTGGAAGTCAGAGGATGGCAGTGAGAACTACAAGGTCATTATATCAAGAGAGGAGACAGAGATAGGGATGTAGACTTCAAGAGTTTCAACCCCACCTTATGGGGTTGTATCAGAAAACTTGGTGCAAAGCTTTGCATAGTTGATCAGACATGAGATTGACTACTTCACATGTTTTTGCAAACTGGATAGGATTTGTGGTATAAATTCTTCATGAATGATCCTGATTCACTGACAATTAGGTACATCATTCATGCATAAGAGGCCATGGTGATTTTCTTCATTCTTCTTGATTGTCATAGAATAAATATAAAAATGTTGACTAAGAACATACTATTTTCAATAATCAGGTACAACAAAATCCATTTGTTATATATGTAGAAGCACTCATAAATCTCCATATGACCTATATATTTGTTAATAAAAAGCAGCATCAACTATGAAGTTTTCTGTTTTGGTTACTTACCTATCCTGGAATGTCCTATGCTTTACTCGCTGCAAAAAGATTTTAAAAGAAAGAAGAAGATTACTTGGAAGCTAATCAACCAACCATTGGAAGACAATGATGTATTATCACGTCTGTCATTATTCAATTACTAGTTCAAGTCCCTATTTTCTCAGTTTGTTAATATTTCTATGTATTGCTACTGTATACAGATATTTCTACATATTAAAAAGCACATTTTAAAGTCTTACCCTTTGAATTATCTCCAGATGTTCTTGGGAATTACTGAAATTTTTCCCAATGTCAAATATACAGAATGTTTCTCTCTGACAAGCTGTCACCCAGTTCTGATATTCGGTTGTACCTGGAATCCGATCCAAAAAGATCTGGAAAGCCTCCCAGACGGCTTCTTGGCAAACTGAAGTAACACAGTAAGAATACATGCACTTTACAGAAAGTCCTTTAGCCAAATTTGATCACAGCCATGCAATTGGTCCCTTCAATATCTATCTCAGGTCACACAGGGCTCTCCCCACCTGTAATACATCTCTTGATGCCTCTTGCTCCTTCATTCAAAAACATTAAAATAAATACATAAATAAATGAACTAAAAGTAGATAGGCTACAAAATAAAGGTTCTAGCATCTTCTAGAGAACCTCAACTGGTGCTATTCAGAGAGAGTCTAAATAGAATATCACCCCTCCTCCAAATTATAATTCTTTGCTCTGTTTTATTACCAGAAGAACAGTAACTTTATATTTCATCTTGATCAAACATTGAATAATTACCTTAGATCAGGGATTTAAATTTTTTTTTTGCATTCATTCAAAATAGCTCATTTTTGCTCCAGAGTAAGGGGTCTTATCATAGACCCATGCAAAGTGATTTGCTTCAGTGAAGTTGTTTGCATTGCAGAGACCGCAGGATTCACTTTGCTGAAGGAGATAAGCCACCCAATTTGTTTCACTGCATCAATCTAGTTGGCCTTAAACTGCTTTAGGCCAGAATTGAGAGAGAAGGCTCTTCATGGCCTCAGCACTGGCCAAGGTAGTTCAGATTCAATGGCTTCAGGTTGCCTGTGGCTTGTACTGGAGCTACCCTTCTTCGAAGATTTTAATGATCAATCTGGAAGGGGCTCCAGACAGTCTGATTTCAGCATACACCATGGACAACCCAGTAGGGTTTCCTGGGACACTTGGCTGAGAAGCTTGTTGGCAAACCCAGGGGGAAAAGGTTGGAAGGAGCTCCAAAGCAGAACCCAGTGAAGCAACATGGTTGGTTAGCTTCACTGTCAGAAGTGAGGGCAACACTTTACTTGCTTCTTGAAGCAGCTTTTTGAAAGGGCACTTTGACACTCCATCAAAGTGAAGAATCCTTTCAAAGCTTTGAATGACCCAACTTCTCAGTCCAAAGCAGGGGACACTTGCTTTCATTCTGATCAAATGCTAAATCAAAGAGGCATTATTACACCAGAGGATTAACACTTTTGATTTCACTTTGATCAAATCTTTCATTATTACCCCAGAGGAGTGAGATTTTCACTTTCATTTTGATTTAAAAAAATGCTTCATTTTTACCCTCACAGAGGGGAACTTTTATTTTCATTTTGAACACACACTTTCTTCTTATCCCAAATGCATGTGTGGGTGTTATTACTCCAGAGTAGGGGAATCTCTTATTTCATTTGACTGAAACACTTCATCATTCACCCAGATAAAGTAACATTTTGTGCCAGTGTTGGTAACTTACATTTTCCAAATAGCAGAAGGAAATATTAATATTAAATAACAAAATGGTTAACTGTAATGGAATGAATGAAATTTTACTGTACTTATTTTTGTCATGAAATTGAAAAGCTAGTCAATGAAATGTGACCACAGACTTCTAACTAGGAAGGCTGAAGTATTATTGCGGTGGCAGGGATGAACATAACCTGGTTTCCACTCCACTCCAAAGTTTTACTTTCCAAAAATATGACCTAGGCCACTTACAGTAGGTGCCTTTAAAGCAGCTCTTACAAAGATATGCGAAAGATAATGAAACTCAGAGGAATCTTATGCCACACTGCCTCAGTTCCTGAGTATGAAAAGGGAGATTCCTTGCTTAAGCCTCAAAAGAAAGCAAAATTGGCAGGCTGTCCCAAACTTAAATACATATAAAGGTACATCACAATTATCACAAACTTTCTAAGCGATGAAAGTATTTCTTAGATTTGTGTTTTATAGTAACAGGAATAGAAATGAATATCAATAGCATTATTGCAGTTTTTCTTTTTAAAGTTTAAAATCTTTATGTAACTAATAATTATAATAATGTCCTCCCCCCCCCCCCCCCCCAAAAA